CAGTGTTTTGACAGGGGGGCAAACACTTGTTCACCCAGGGCTATATAGTTTTGGATTTTGTTTTCCCTTAATAATAAAAACCTTCATTTAAAAACTGCATGATGTGTTTACTTGTGTTATCTTTGACTAATATATAAATTTGTTTGACGATCTGAAACATTACAGTGTGACAAACATGCAAAAAGATAAGAAATCGGTAAGGGGGAAAACACTTTTTCACACCACTGTATTTCAGCTATCGAAATGTTCAGCTCCTCAAGGACATTCATGCTGCTATTCAGAACTTTTGTAAAATTCATACTTTTAAAATATTTAGCTTTATTTTGAAAATCTTGCTTCATTCAAATGAATGGGAAAATTCTACTTCAGCATACTTTCAGCTATTTCAGCTATCGAAATGTTCAGCTCCTCATGGACATTCATGCTGCTATTCAGAAGTTTTGTAAACTTCATACTTTTGAAATATTTAGCTTTATTTTGAAAGTCTTGCTTCATTGGGAATGGAAAAATTCTACTTCAGCATACTTTCAGCTAGCAAAACCATTCAGGTGTCAAAATGTTCAGCATTTTCAGGGCGATCTTTCAGCACTCAGCATCCATACGCATTTTCTTCATAAAATGCATTTCTCTAGTTATTTATGTCATCCCAGTGTTTAAAGTGAAAACCAACACAAGATATTACACTGATAAAATGAAATGGTCCCCTGTGAACCTGACACAGGCAGTTATCACTCACAGTGTTCAACATGGATTCTTAAACTTATTAAAAATAAAAAAAACAGAATCAGCACAATAGTGACCCCTATCATGTTCAGTTTGTCTTGCTGTACTCTTATTGAAAGTCTGTGTAGTGAGCCTGCCTCATCCTCTCACTGTGTGAGCTCACAGTAAATGAAGCTACAGCCAAGTTGAGCTCCGCCCCACGTGACTGATGATCAGCTGGAACACAAGGAAACCCTGGTCCTCACAACAGATTAATGAATCAGCATAGAGCAGTGAAAGAATTCCTAATGAGCAGGTTCTACAATTCCTAGAATAGCAGGAAATGTTTGCCAGGTACAATTTTGTGTCAAGAATTGTTTTAACAGGGTTTAGTTAGATTTTTGCAGCACAGTGAAGTGTGACTAATAAATTGTTAAAAGCCAATGATTACTGATAGAACATTAATGTAATAGCCTGTTTTATAGCCACCTATACAAGCATCATGCTTCAGGATGCAAGAGCTTTCCAGTAAATTAGGTTTTATGTATGGTTATCAGTTGAACAAATACATGCAAGCAAATGCATGTCGTCAGCTGAAGGACTCAAGATATTTTAAAAGAAATGACATTATAGGTTTATTTTATAACCACATGACATGCTCACCTCAACCTATGTATCATGAGGGCATTTTTTTCATTTGGCTGGACAGTTGTTTGTTTGTTGTTGTCTGTCTGACTTTAAGTACATCAAGTGAAACTACTCACTTCTTTAAACTCATTCCTACAGTTACGTCTATACAGTATGAATGCAGTAGAACAACCCCATGACCATCAGCTGTTAACAGGCTCCCATGCCCCCCACCTCCCACACATCACATCCTGCCAACAGTGGAATAAAGATCTCTTCCGCTGGGCATTGTGGTTACTGTTCATGTTGTGCTGGACTTCCCGACAGCCCTGTAAATCCGTCTATGTCCAGTAAGCCTCAGAGGGCGGGAGAGGTCACCACAGACAATGTCCAATCTTGATGAATCGCCAGTCAGTCCACTTCTAGCACTGTACTATTTATACGATTCTTTTCAGCAGCAACTCGCTCCCTCGGTCCTCAGCAGGTACCTGCCCCCCTCTCCCTCCAGAAACCCACGTTTCCTACCACCTTCAGTTCTGCGCCGTCACACAACAATTAAAACTGCTAAGTCTCCCGTTAACAGCTGCTACAGATTAGCAGAGTATCGCTTCTCAATTGACTGTTTTCCAGAAACTAATCCTCTGAAATCCCCCGTTTTCTCAGTGTCGGGAACATGATAAAACAGACAACACTTAAGTCATGTTTGATGGCCCCCACCCTCCCAAACACTAAATTGCTAAAACCTGTAAGAACCTCTCAACTTTGGTAATAGGATTCAGAAGCAGCACCGCGAGGCGGAGGGGAAAGAAAGGGACAAAAAGAAACGACTCACCTGAGAAAGACCGTCTCTCCTTGTCGGACGGTGATATTGTCCATTACTTTGTTGTCGGATTGAGAATCCCCTTGGCTGCGGACTGGCAACCCTGCAGGCACAAGAAGCAACATCCTCAGACAGAGAAGAACTATGCATTTGTTCAAAGCGACAAAGTATCCTCGGACAGACATCGTCTTCAAAGGCGTAAAAAACTAATCCCACAGCGAGACAATGTGTCGGTTTTCGCCCTGTGACGGTCCCGTGGAGATTATTTACCCCCAGTCCGACAGTCTTAATCCAGACTCCTCGTCAGGTACAGCCGCGGTGTGCACAGGGGAGGAGAGAGCCTATCCGGTACACTGTAAAACATCTACTGTGTGTTGTTCAAAACAAAGCAAGGGCAAACAGAATCATTTCTTCTCACTGTTGGTCCGGCGGAAGGTGATTACCAAGTTGTTTTTAAAAATAAAAATACACCTGGCGAAATTCCTCCCACTAGTCTATTTATCAAAACCTATTTGTGTCTAAATGCTGGCGAACTGAAAGACACCAGAGTCATTTTGGAAAGGAGAGGGTGATACCAAGTTTGCGATTTGCATCGGTTGTCAGTGACTTGTTTCTCTTTCGGTGCTCTAGGTTATGAACACTTTGGCTCTGGTCACGTCAGGAACGCACGGACACACATTCGCATCAACCACCCTCATGGCAAACAGGGGCAGAGAAGAGCATCATATTAATCTTGTAGGCAGTGATAGTGAGTCTGTGGCACTGCGTGGGGAATCTCCTGTGTCTCTGGTGTTGAAAGAGTGAGTTTAATACAGTGAATGCTGCACAGTGATACCCCAGAAGCTCCATATTAAAATTTTTATACATTTAATTTAATTTAACTTTGTTTTTTGTTATTACAGCATTTAGGCCTGCAAGTAATGGCTGTTATAATTTTCATTAACAATTAATATGTAAATTAGTTTCTCAGTCGATCATTAAATTGCTGGTAAACGCTGTCCTTCACTGTTTATAAAAGCCCATGTTGAAGAGCAAATTGTTTTGTCTGACAACAGTGCCCTTCATCATTTTTGGGACAAAATGATGTCTTTGTCCCCAATATCATGAAGGGTAATGTCAAAAACCCCAACAGCAAATGAAGTTTAATATCACAGGGCAAGACCAAAAACAGTAATTCATATTATAGAAACTAGAATCTCAAAAATTTTTTGTTTTGTTTTGCTGTGTTTGTTTGTTTAGTTTTTTGGCCTATGCATTAATCTATACAATTTTAATCTCCAAACCTTCCTACAGAGAAAATAAATAACCCAAGAGTGAGAAACAAACCCCAGTATTCAGTACTAGAATAATTGCTGCATAGCCTGAACAGTCACTGTGGGACCTCTGAAAGTAGAAATGGCACATTCCCACTTTTACAAATGAAAAACCAAATTCATAAGCAAAATGTGACCAAACAGGTTTCTCGTTGGCACAGCCTAATCTCTGGGTTTCAAAATTTTATATCGCTCACAATGACTAAAACATTATAATGTTACCAAAATGTTGACATATAATAAGTATAAATATAATAAGCTATGTCCAGTAAGGCGAAGATGTTAATGTACTTCTTAGATAAAACATGAAATCATGTTCTTATTAACTGCGTGAGTTACATTGGGTGGTAGTTAGTTCAAGTCAACATTGTTACATCAAATTATAGTGAAAAAGGAGAGGTGTGTACAGGAATAAACTCAAGCTTTGAGCGTCTGAGGATCTCTACCTTAGTCTCATTCACACATCATGCATATATTCTGTTTTTATAATTCACAATAATTTCCCATTCCTATTCAATTCATTTTCAGTTTGAAGCCATAATGGAAGCAGCTTCTAACTTGAAATGAACATGTCCAAACACTGGCTAACAGTTCATAGTAAAGGGGTTCTAAGATAAACTGAGAAAGTGTTTTCTTGAAAGAACTGGATCATGACAGTGTCCCGTTTTTAGAATGTCATAGTTCAGATGAAACAAGGCAACAGGAAGAACAGAGGTTTATGCTCATGAGCATCTGTGACCTGTGTTAAAATGTTCAAGAACAAATGTGTGGCCTGAAGACAGACAACAGAACACAGCAATAAACACACACAGAAAATATAATGTATACCAGCATACACTCTGGCACCAGAGCAGTGAGATGATGTGGTCAGTTGTCCATTTTCTCTGTTTAGTAATCAGCCTCCAGTGAATTGTGAAGTGTGTGATACTGGACATACTGTAAGAAAGCCTAAACTACTGCAGTGTATATTTCATGCAGGTGAACTGAACAGACTATTTTTAAACCAGTGAGTCACAGTCTGTGTATAGGTCCTTTGTCTCACACTCATACTTTGCTACAATGCCAGTTTAATCCACAAGTAAACGCACCAACTTAGAGGCTTAAACTGGTTAGAAGAGAAATATTTGATCACGGCTGGCAACAAAAGGAATGTCTGACAATGTCCTGTCATATATACTGTATAAAAAAGACGTGCTACATAAAGGAGATGTAAATCAACACATACAGTAGGTGTGTGTGAGAAAGCGTGTTTGGGGGGGGACTTATCTTGATGCAATATAACATTATATAGCATTATAATAATATAATGATAGAAGGGCTGTTTAAGGTTAGGGTGTCAACTGGGAACCACAGCAGACCGGATTCAAATCCTTGTTGCATATCTCATTCCCTTATTTCCTGCACCTCTCTATTGTCTTTAACAAAGACTGTGAAATGCCCTGAAAAATAGTTTAAAAACATACTCTCCAAGGCACATGCTAAAAATATTCAGTGAATTTAAAGGAAATTTTAAAGCCCCATGAGAAAACTAAACAGTGTCTTTAGATATTACATTTTAATATTTATTTATTTTGTACTGTTGGGAGAGCTGGAAACCAAGTTTTTGAAATGAAATATTTGTTGTGTATTTGAAAAATAAAGATGTTGAAGCTTGAACCTCATTAATTTTTGATTCAAATGTCAGTAGGCTACTGCATGCATCTGGGACACCTTAAATCAGCGAGAAATGGGGAAAAAAAACCCACAAATGCAAAAATCTGTCATGAAATACCCCAAAATTAGCCGGTACCTGTAGATTCATGTGGGACCTTGTTGCTCTTAGTAAGCAGCTGTTTTTCTGGGGCTTTGACATTTTACATTAAGATAATGTTCAGGCTGTTTTGATGACAAGGTTTGATGGTGGTTTTAATAGATATCAGAATCAGAATGAGAAAAATGAACACATTTAATAGTAGAACATCTCTGCCTGCAAGATTCTGAGCTTTTTATTTTCATTTCTCTATCTTTTTATTTCATTGACACAGGAATTGAGTGTCATTTACCAGACAGCTTAACTGTTTGCACTGCTGAGTCATAATGATGTTCAGAAGAGCGTCTGTTTCCACAAAATGTGAATCCATTGCTCAGGAAATTAATACCAGTATAAAGTTTGTCTTAATTCTTTGTTTATTTTCCCTAAAGCACATGTACACCCACTGAATAGAGGTTCAGTATCTTCCTGAGACAAACAGATTATTTTGGAACCAAGCTACTCAGCAGGTATCAGAGTGTGACAAATGAATCACTATATCCAGTATCACAGAACCTAATGCTGTTAGTTGGAAGAAACATGTATTTACTGCACTTGAGCTACCTTGTCATAATCTCTCCAAAAGCTGTATTTTCCCAATTTAAGACTGAGAAAATAGTAGCATTTAAAGCCAAGCTGCATGCACTTGATTTCAGACCTTTAATACCAAAAGTTCAGTTTCGTGTAGGACCAGAAGTTTGTACCATAAGTCAAACATACAGTGCATTGTCAAAGAGGTGATGTTTCTATTGTTAATCCATACTTATATGGCTACTGGAATAAAATGTGAAAGTGTGGAGAGGCTGCTTCTCTGATAATCACTAAAATGTATGCTTGCTTGATTTAGCTTAATTACTGTAGGCTCTCTGTCTGTCAGCAGCCTCTTAGCATTCCTGTCTGCTTATACCTATTCATAGCATAGCATATGAAAAAAGTCATGCAATTATTCAGTCCTGTTCTCCCAACTGCTATTGGTCTCACTCATTTAATCACGACGTTCACCAATGCTTTTCAACACTCAGTATTTTGCTTCTCAGCACTTTTACCTCAGTCTGCCACACTGTAGAGTCCAGGTAATGAAGTCATACAAACGTGAATTACAAGGAGTGCAACTGAAAATGTTTTACTGAATATACAAACTGAGTTTTGTAGGCTATATTGTTTTAATGGTTTGTATTTTTTCATTAAAATCTGAAATGTAATCTAGATGCTGCATTTTCAGTAATGTCGAAATAGTGTTTGTCCAGGTTTCCTGTCTTTGGGCTGAGGTATCCACATAGCAGGAATAATACGTTTTAATTTGTTTGACTCCCAAGGTGCAAGTTAGTCATTTTTTATATCTGTGCCTAGATGACCTCAAGTAAAAGTCTCAACCTTTTCTGACTTCAGTGCGCACTGCCAACTACTGTCCATCTGCATTTAGTAGTCAGCTATCATATGTTCTCTTAACCCTAAACCTGACCCTAACCTTGATTCCTACCAGTAACCCTGACTCTGACCCTATGCCCCCTAGTCACAACTCCCATCTGTCTTTCAATAATAAATGTTATTGACTTTCTAACAAAATGTGACAGTTTTCATCCCCTATCCTAGCCCTGATCATATCCTTAACACTTACCCTACCCCTGACCCCAACCCTAAACCCTGGCCCACATTTGGGAACAGTGCTCTGTAACAGGTTTTAACGTTAGGGTGTGAAATAATGTCACATTTATTTTGCAAAAAAAAAATATGGATATCATAGTGTATCAGATTCTTCCCTGCCAGCTCTAAGCAGTATGTTATGAGGCTAGAGGAAGTGGGTGTGCTTCAGGCTTGACAGCATCTGAGCTATTTTATAGTCCAGATCTTGAAGGGGAGAGAATGAGCTGTCACCATCCAGAACAACGAGCCTCCAGGCAGCACATTCCCAGGAACGTAACTTGACTTTCTCAGAGTGCTGCAGCTCATAATCAAGGCTCCACCTCCACACAGACTATAAATGCCACCACTCGTCACCCCTCTTCACCTCACCTGAATGAAGTTGTCAAGCAAATGAATGAGCGAGGTGAAGCCTCCTGCAGTGACATCTAATATTCCCCATCAAAAATACCTGTTTAGTCAATTACTCACCATCACACTTTGTATCAACGCATGCTAAGTTAGTAAATTAGTGACTGTATTTCACCCAAACACATGAAAGGAAATGTTAAGTTAAAAAGGATTTTTGATAGCTTTTTTATTAATTTTGGTGGAACAAGCCCAATGCTAAAGTTTCAACCTAATGCTATACTAATCAGTGTTTTTATATTACCAGTGTGTGTACTATAAAGGGTTCCCTCATAGTGAATCCACAGACACTGATCACTAACACTGCAGTTCCCAAACATGGACCCCAACCTCTCCACTATGGCTTCTGTGCAGTGTATGAGGATTTTACATTTCTCTGAATTTCACACAATGGCTTCTCCCTCTCCCTCTCCTTCTGTCTCTTGCTTGGAGTGTCATATGTTCAGTTATTCCTCTGCCTCCTTTAGCAATAATGGTATTTGTAATTAATCTAAGATGCTAGCAGCATTGGAGGTGAGGCTCACCAAGCTGGAAGAATGGCTCGGAACCATGGAAAATACCCCAGCTTTCCAGGCCCATGTAGCAAGTGTGGGAACGCCTAAGCATAATGTTAGCTCAGCCCAAGCTAGCCGACTCCCAGCACTTCCTA